TGTATGTATGTATGTATGTATGTATGTATGTATGTATGTATGTATGTATGTATGTATGTATATATATATATATATAAAAATAGAGAGAGAGAGAAATACAGTAGGTAGGTAGGGAGATTTGATTGCGCTCTGATTTACTCATTCATATTCAAACCATGTGGTTTAAGGACTATTAATAAATCCTTTGGGAATTAGGGGAAAACTACTTAGAATCGTAGAAACATAGGTCCAGAAAGGACTTTGGAGATCTTCTAGTCCAACCTTTTGTTGAAAACTTCTATTCCACTGATTATTGTTCTGTCAGGATATTTCTCCTTAGTTCCAGCTTGGATCGCTCTTTAACAAGCTTCCACCCGTTGCTTCTTGTCCTGTCCTCAGGTGCTTTGGAGAATAAATCCACCCCCTCTGTGAGTTTGATTTGGTTTAATGTTAAGCATTTCCCCAACTCAGAAAACAGTTAGAGACACATACAGTATGTACTTAGGTTTATATAAAAGCAAAATATTTATATGTCAGATGATTGATTTAGGTGTGGATAACCAAATGTAAAAGCTCAGATCAATTTTTACAACAAAGTATAATTAATTTAATATATCAGTTTATCACACTTTGGTTTTAACCATGGAGACTGCAAAACATTTGAACTAAAGTTGCTGTCAACTGCCAATCATCTGATTGTATTTATATTTAAAGCATTGAAACCTTTCTACCTGTAAGCAAGAGCTCCTGCAAAATGACTTTGAATGTAGGTATCCATAACTGGCCTAAAATGATGAAACTTGTTGTCCTGCAGCAAATTAATTATGTGAACCTAAGGGGGGGGGGGAAATGCATATTAGTTTATTTTAGCCAATTTCAAAAATCAAAACAAACACAATAAATAATAACATATGTCTTACCAAACAGTCAAATACTTGAGAGCCATACTTTTGAGAATTTTCATCTAAAATCCCAAATAAAGTGTCTAGTGTATCTTGAAGAAACTAAATGAAGGAAGACAAATTTAAGAACTATATCCTTTGGAAATGTTATTCGGTGAGAAAAATAAACAGTGTCAATTGTATTCACCTTCACTATTTCAGAACCATCAATTTCTTTCAGTTTCGAGAGGCAACCTGCAATTTTTTCTGGGTGAGCTCGCCATTTAAGAAGGTCAAGCATATCTCCTGCAAAATAAAGTTTAGCAAAAATACAATTGTAAGCAAACAATTTATTATATATACATTAATTTTAGAAATAGCCAAAAGGAAAAGGTTATACTGTATATCTAAGATCCCCTAAATGAAGCCCATGTTTTAAGATGCATATCTGCTTATGTTATTTAAAAAATTGTGGCACATGAAATGTAACATTCATTTTATTCACTCACAAGTAATTCCTAAGAATTAATGCATTTTACTTCTGAGTAGAGAAATAGAATTGCACTGTCCAACATGAAACCGCATTTTTGCTCCATTTATTTAAATCTGTATCATGAATGATATTCAATGCCAAAAACTTTAATAATATTCCTCGGAAGTCCTCATTTATCATAATATTTTATCATTTTGGACAATAAATACAGTGAGGGCATTTTTTAAAAATCTGAAAGCATTGAATGGTAATAAAAAAAATCCATAGATGTGCTTCTTAAAAATATTGTCACATTAAAACTGCTACATTTTTAGTCTGCTTACAAACAGATCAACAGATTATTCATGTATTGAGCCAATCAATAGTTTATTAAGTATGTTCAGCATCAATTTTACTAATATTGAATTATAAAACATATTTGTAATACTTTCTGCAAATAAGCTTATCCATGAATATGACAACCCTCAAATATTTAACCAAAATAACCTGAAAATTGTGCAACCTGTGGATAAGATGACTCAGTTTGTGTATCTTCGTTTAAAATGTGATGGTCTGCTTCGCCATAGATGGGTTTACATATAAGTATATATGGAATTAGAAATAGTAAGAAAATGTTGCTGTTTATACCAACAAGTCCATTTGTTGATAAGTGGAACCTGATTTGGGGGTGTATTTTAGCACTTAAAATTCTTGGCTTATATACAGTATACTTATATTAATAAGCTCATCTATTATACTGTATTATGCATTATACTTTACCATTTTGTGTGAGTTTAGTTGAACACAGAAAAGATGTAATCCAGAAAGATTCCTTTGTAGATTTTATTGCTTGGTGGTTGTTTGCAAGGAGATGCCCTTTTGAAAAGGGAAATTTGAGGTAGCGACTAGAATCCCGAAGGCTTATATTTTCTTCACACTGAGAGAACAATTAAATTTGCATTTTAACTCACTATACCTAATTAAATAAAATGTAGCATAGAACTGTCATCTAAAGCCATTAGAAAAACAATCTGCCCTGCTAATCAACTGTATTTTCTAACATTTTCTTCCTATGTACTTTCTAGGCATATTCATTGCTTGCTATGCTTTCAGGATACTTAACTACTGATAATATTTTATATCTATATCCACATATTTTATATCTATATCCATTTTCAGCAGATAGGTGAACACTCCGGGAACATTTTTGCAATTCTCACTGGTGGAAGGTGCCACCTGTAGAACATCTTGTACATGTTCTCTCCAGTGATGTGCAGTCAGGGGAGGCAGGGGAGGCAGAGCCTCACCACTGTCATCATGAAAAGAAAAAAAATGTAAAAGGAAAAAGGCTGAGCTAGTTGCTGCCAGAGTCACCGTGGATGACTCTGCTTGGTGCTTAACTGTTTAAAAAAAGCCTCTAAAAAAGCGCCCTCTACAGGAGGAGGCAGGAGAATGACGTGACTCATCTAGTCTGACTTAAGGCGTTTTATGATCACTTGAGCAGAGTTAAACAAGGGTTAAAAGCCTAAAAATTCCTGACATAGCTGAGGCACGCCGTTCTCCTGCCTTCTCCTGTAGAGGGCGCTTTGTAGAGGCTTTTTGAAACAGTTAAGCAGAGTCATCCACGGTGACTCTGGCAGCAACCAGCTCAGCCTGACCTCAGCTCTTGCCTTTTTCCTTTTACATTTTTTTTCTTTTCATGATGACAGGCAAGAGCAGAGTTGAAATCCTCTCTGAAACAGCTGGAAAAGGTGCATGTGTGGGGATGGGGGAGGAATTCAAAAAGTTTGATTGCATGCAGAGCCACGTTGCCTTTTCAAACACACACACACACACACACACACACACACCCGGAGAAAACTATATAAGCCCAGCTTCACTGATTACAAGTTTGAAAAGGCAACGTGGCTCTGCCTGCAATCAAAGGCTCGGATTGGCTCCAATTCAACTTTTGTGTTTGTGTTTGTTTGAGAGAAAGTGAGTGAGAGAGGGAAGGGGGTATGATAGTCCAATCCAACTTCTCTGTGTGCGTGTGTCTGTTTGAGAAAGGGAGGAGGAAGGGGGAGAGGGAGGAAGGAGGGGGAGGGAGAAGAAAAAGAATGAAGGAAACCTTTTTGCAAAGGAGAAAAACAAATGCTGTCACTTTAAATCTGAACTGAGCATGCCTGGCTGTGGAATTCTGGGACTTGAAGTCCACAAGTCTAAAAAAAATTGAAACCCCTGTGTCAGTGCCTCACCAGCCATAAACCTCACCGCACGTCACTGATGGGTGGCATGGCTGGTCCATCCTGGGGGCAGAAGTTCTGCTGCTAATCCGGCAGCTCACTCAAGCTGTGGTTTAAATTTTTCCCCCTACAGGAGGCTACCGAAATGGGAAGCATGCCTCTGCCTGCATTACTAGGGGAAGACTCTCTGCTCTACCAAAACCAATGGTTCAAAAGTGGCTCCTCTGCCACCCCTCTTCCCCTGCTGCCTTCCCCAAACACCTCCCACCCATTGCAAACGTGGCATTCCATTTGGGGGAGAACTGTCTGAAATGCAATAAAACCCACCCACTCACCTCCCTCCCGCTGACAGGCTGGCTAATGGGATGACAATAGAGGTGGAGATGCAGAAGGGGAGCTGAACAGATAGTAGCCCTCTAAAAAAAGGAGCTGAGAGAAAGTGCATGTGCTATGGCATGCTATGGACGCCCCTCACTTGCCTCTGCCCTTCCCTTCTCCATCTGTCTCCTTGGCGCTCACTCACGCTCTCCTTCCCTCTCCCCCTCTCTTTTTCCAGTCTAGCTTGATGCAAGCGGCAGCTCACAATTGCCCTTTGCAAGCCCACTGTCGGTGAAGCTGGGTACTGGTGGGGCACCGCTGAACCAGGATAGTGGGGCTTCTTTCCTCTCCGTAGTTCTGCCAAAGCAAAGTGGATTCTTTGCCATGCATGCATGAGAGCGTTAAATTCATTTATACCTGAAAGCATCTAAAAATTCAAGTAGAAAAAATAGGTACCACCTTTGGTGGGAAGGTAACAGCATTCCGTGCGCCTTTGGCATTTAGTCATGCCGCCACATGACCATGGAGACATCTTCAGACATGGCTGGCTCTTCACTTTGAAATGGAGATGAGCACCACCTCCTAGAATCAGGAATGACTAGCACATATGTGCTAGGGGAATCTTTACCTTTTTATACATGTGTAATATAAAGAACCAGCAACATAAGTTGGAAAGGATATGATGATAGGACATGTTACACAATGACAAATCTAGCATTCTTCTGACATTTGAATCAATCTAGGATTTTTTTTTTACTTAATAAGCTATGTTTTTTCTGGCTTCTTTTTGAAAATACCTTGTGCACAATGAGCTCATGAATGCCATCTGGCAGGGTCCTTCCATTTTCCTGCATCAGAGGGATGAAAGAAAAACCAAACATCTTCTTCTCTCCCTTCTCTTTTGCTGAAACACATATATACATTAAAAATACACCATATTCTATGCTAGGAATGAAAGTTCTTAAATGAAAATAATATAAAATTGCACACATATTTGCAACCAAAGGCTGGAGTGCTATATAAACAATCAAATGTACAGATATATTAATTACACAATACAATTAACAGATGATCAATTTGATTTCTATTGACCAATTAAATTCAAGATTTCTACCATCGGCATGAGAACCAGATTGGTGTAGCCAGCTGGAGGACCTTAGGCCAGTCACTCTCTCTTATCACTAGCAAGAAGAAGGTGAGAGCAAACCAATTTTAAAAATCTTGCTACAAAAATTGCATGCATTTGTCAAAGCTGGAAGGATATATATCCAGATCACACAATTATACCTATAATTTTATGAATAGCAATAGCACTTAGACATATATAACATTTCACAGTGCCTTACAGCCCTTTCTAAGTAGTTTACAGAGTCAGTTTATATTGGCCCCAATAATCTGGGTCCTCATTTTACCAACCTTGGAAGGATGGAAGGCTGCATCAACCTTGAGCCAGTGAGAATCGATCTGCTAAACTGCGGGCAGCCAGCAGTCAGCAGAATTAGTCTGCAATACTGCATTCTTCAGAATAACTTATTTTTATTTTAGAATACATAGGAATATCACACTGCTATTAAATTAAATATGTTAATATTTATATGCACAGTTTTTTCATTAAAAGATACATTAAAACTACAATGGCCAAAGAAAAATTGCTTCAAATTTAGATATTGGATTCACTAAAATAATTAAATGATCCAGGTGGCTTAGGGGATTCTATACAAACCCTTGTGACTTCAGGAAATAAAAGAGATTCCCATCCACTAAAATCAAAATTTTTGAATTTTTTTTTGAAGAAAAGAAGCCATGATCTTCTAATAACTCAACTTGCATCATCCTTTTGGCAATATTTATCTCTGTTCTGAATCAAACTGGCAAGAGATTCTAATCCAATATCAGATACTCTTCCATTTCTCCTTCAATCTACAATCAGCTGTAAGTGTGAACTGGTTGCCAAGCATGCTTCATGTGACTGCCAGGAGAGACACAACATTTTATAACAGATAGAAGCACTCTTTCTGAGGCCATTGTACCTTTCAACAGTCATTATACAACCAGTCGTAAGTGTGGGATTATCTGTACATTTGCCTCTTGGATCATTGGTGTTTGAAAGCATAATTAATCTTCAGTTACAGGCATACATTTATTTTTGCAGAATATTCTAATGCAAAGCTGCTGTTTTCAGTGCATACTTGCGTTTTTTTTTTTTAATTGTGATGCCCGTATGAAAGCCTTTCCTCAATCAGCAGGTATGAAGAACATTTTTAAAAAAAATGTAGATTGTAATTTAAAATCACTACCACTTCCGAATAGGTCTTACTGGAACAGTGCCGGAATTCAAACCGAAGGTGTGATCCCCTGAATTTATCCACTGGAATAGGTAGTTTCAGCAGCTCAGCCCACCTGGGACTGTTGTTATGATACAACACAAAAGAATGGAATTCAGAGGCTGGTGGTTCTCCAGAGCCGAAGGAGATAAAATCCTTAAAAAGAAAGTATTAAAAAAACTACTTCAGTTGTACAACCAATGGTCATTATCCTGAAAGATCTACAATAAACAGAACAAAACGTTTTGTTTTCCATTTTGAAAGGCACAAGAAGGGGCAATTACAGGGAATGGGGTAAATTTAATTTACATACCAGTAAGGGCAGGAAAAATGCTTATTGTTCACTCAGTAAGAAAGCATGAAGGGAATCCTTTATCATGGTCCATGGTATTATTTCATTCATCAATCTACCATGCCCAAATGTCTATGGGGATTCTCGGACATTCAGGTCAGGGTTGTCTGGAATTTCTGGCTTTTCTTTGAAGATGTTTTGCTTCTCATCAGAGAAGCTTCTTCTGCTCTCTTCAGCTGAAGAAACTCCTTGGATGAGAAGCGAAAGATCTTCAAAGAAAAACCAGAAAGTCCAGTTGCCTCTTAAAAAAACATCTTTGGGACTACTGTGCCCAATATTTCTTTGGGGCATGGATCTGCATTATATCATTTTCAGTGTTTCTCATTTTTCTCATTTTACATTTATTTTGCTTTAACTTATTTTGTCTGCAACTTTAATACTAGATTTTTTGCAACTTATTGCATTGTTATATTTTATATGCATTTTTTATGCAAAGGAATTTTGTAAAAAAAATTATATCAGGTTTTCTAATTGTCATGAGGAAGCATATTCATTCATTCATTTGTTCATTCAATCAATATACATAACCACCCTTACACTCACTCTATGATGATTCTGGGTATTTCTCTGAAATTCACTATACCACAATAAGTCTTCTCTCCCCCCCCCAATGTATTCAAAATAATAATGCAAACTTAAGAAATCAGGAAAACTGTGTGTGGGAGAGAGGGGGGGAGAGAGAGGGAGAGGGAGGGAGAGAAATCTGTCTAATATAATTGCTTCGCAACTGTGTGGAACAATTACGTAATGATTCATTTCAGATTTCATTTAAATACTGTTCTTCTCTTTGAAAAAAAATCAGAGGTAGGGAAAACATCTTGTAGGTGATAAAGACAAGCCTGGAGGAAATAATGTGATCCTCTGAACCATTTTTTGATTCTTTTGGAATAGTCCTCAACTTACAACAGTCCATTAAGTGACAGTTCAAAGTTACAACAGCCCTGATAAAGTGACCCAACTATTTTTCACAATTACAACCATTGTAGCATAATTATGATAACATAAATAAAATTGAGAAGCTTGGCAACTGACTCATATTTATGATGGTTGCAGTGTCTGGGGTCATGTGATTACCTTTTGTGACCTTCTGACAAACAAAGTCAATGGGGAATCCAGATTCACTTAATAACTGTAGTAATTCACTTAACTGTTTCAAGAAAATTTGTATAATGGGGAAAAACTCACGTTTAACTCTTTCATTTAGAAAGAGAAATTGTGGTCCTAACTCAAGGACTACCTGCATTTATTATTCTTCAAAAATGCAGCTTGGGAGAATGTTGTTCTAAGGCAGCGGTTGAATGTGGACAGAATTACACTGTGCCCTGTGGAAAATGGAGTTTACTTTGGGCATGCATGAGGGATTTGTGCATAAGTCCACTGAGTGAACATGATCACAGACTTCTTCATTAGCTGATTAGACTGCCATCTCCAAAGATGTACCTGGATAACATTATGGCAATGAGGAAGGTCACTTTCAAGGTAACAGATTTACATTCACTTGGTTGATAACTTTGAAAGGATGATTTGTAACATTTTCAGAACCAGGTGAAAAGCTTAAGTGGGGCCATTATATGAGAAGGGACTCCAATAGCATGTATATCTTGATTTATGGACATTCAGAGACAGATAATCCCTCAGAGTGTTTTGCGTTATAGATTATTGGTTTGATTGGAAAAAAGTATCTCAGGAAGAGGGACCACCAGCCTAATTTCCTTCCTCCTTCTCAAGGAAAAAGCATAGGTCAGTGATGGCGAACCTATGGCACGTGTGCCACAGGTGGCACGCGGAACCATTTGTCAGGGCATGTGAGGCACTGCCCTGTGCGCTGGCCAGCTGAGTTCACCCTTTTTTAAAGCCATTTTTTGCCCTCCCCAGGCTCCAGAGGCTTTACAGTATAGGACCCTAGGGAGGGCAAAAAGAGTCCCCCCCCAGCTCCCTGGAGGCCCTCCAGAGGCTTCATGAGCTTCCGTGAAGCCTCCAGAGTGCAAAAAAACTGGCCCTACGGGCAAACCAGAAATTTGGGAACGGTTTTCCGGTTTGCTCGGAGGGTCATTTTGACTGCTCCGGAGGCTTCAGGGAAGCCTCCTGAAGGTCCCTGAAGCCTCCAGAGGGCATCCGAGGGGCAGGGGAGGCTGTTTTCGCCATCCCCAGGCTCCTATAAAGCCTCTGGAGCCCGGGGAGGGCGAAAAAAGCATGCAAAAAATGGGGGGTCGCGCCAGTAGTGGGTGCATGCACACGGGGGGGTCACGCATTGCATTATGGGTGCAGCACACCCGCACACGACCCCCCTGCGCTTCCCCCCACTTATCACACGCAAGCCAAAAAAGGTTCGCCATCGCTGGCATATGTGATATCTTAAATTTGTCTGTCAGTGTTCCATGGGAAGCTAAGATGATCTACACCAAAACTACATCATAGATCTGAGGTGACATTATGTTCCCTGGGGGAGGTAATCCACTCTAACTGCATGGCACATGGTAAATCAATGGACAAATGCACTCAGAATGCTAGAACCTCTGGAATACAAGTGTCAAACTCAATCGCAGCACGTGACATAGCACAATGTATTGTGCCTTTTTTGCCTTTGTGGAGCTAGGGTGGGCGTGGCCTGGATGTGATGCATCCGGTTTGACACCGGCATCTGGTTATGGAAGAATCAGCATGCTTTCTGCCTCTTCATCTCTGTCTTTTGTACTAGTCAAATTAAAAAAAGGAAATGAAACATTGAGCTACTTGATATTCTGAGGGCATGATATTCACCATCCAGATTGATTATTTTGTTCTCAAAATAATCAAAATTGTTCTCATAGTTTAAGATGAACTTTAATCTCTTCAAGAAAAACTGATAGTTCTGTCATGCCAATTTATCCACTTAAAATTTAAGATGTTTTCCAATCCCTATTCTTTTTAGGTAAAAACACACAAAAAAATACAAAATCTTTTTCCAAACCAATTCTTGAATACAGCTAATCTGCCTGGAATCCACACTGTATATCAGACATTAATACGACTGAGTGGGTCCAGAGGTATTTCACGAGAAGAGTATTCCACTCCTCTACTCACAATAGAATCCTTTATGCCACCAGGTTTGAAATTTTGAAATTCCAATCTAGAACTGTGCCGCTTGCGGTCTGATCTAAGCATATACACAAAATTGTCTGCTACAACGTCTTGCCTGTCAATGACTTGTTCAGCTTCAACCTCAATAATACACGGGTAAACAATCGATACAAACTCAAGGTAAACTGCTCCAAACTTGATCGCAGAAAATACGACTTCAGCAACAGAGTGGTCAACACCTGGAATGCTCTACCCAACTCTATTGTTACATCCTCAAACCCTCACAGCTTCAACCTTAAACTGTCTGCCGTGGACCTCACCCCATTCCTAAGAGGTCCATAAAGGGGGCGCCAGCGTGCCTACCATCCCTGTCCTACTGTCCCCATTTATTTGTATTCATTTCCTTCGTTCATGTCCATGTTCATACTTATACCTGCTATCTTGTACATATTTGACAAATTAAATAAATTATGAAAAAAAATTAATGCACTTAAAAGATTGTCAGCCAGTGGCACTATTTCTATGGCTTTCTCAGCTAGGAATTGATCACTGGGTTTCACATTGAAGATAGAAGGAACAAAAAACCTCAAAAACCTGAAGTTGGATCCTAGATAGGTCATTTTTATTACTTTATCTTTTTTCCCCAATTGTTTTGATCATAGCCTTGGGTAGGGTCCAAAATATCTATCGTTTGTGAAAGCACTGGAGGTTAGTACTGAACTGGACGCTGTCTATGTTCCAAGTAATGATCCAAAAATGTATGGCTGCCTAGTCAGAATCAACCATGAAGGCGTTATATTTGCCAGTTAGTTAATGGAACTATGGATTAAGACTGGGTATAATCCACTGTGTTTGGATATAATATCACTCTTTAGACATTAGAAATGTACTGGCGTTCTTTTGCCATGTTAAAGAGAATGCCATTAAGTTTGTGACTAGGAGATTTGAGTATATCATCCCTGCTTTTTAAGATTGCTCTTGGAAACTAGGGACATTACTAGGATTTCCATCAATGGTTTGTACCTTGGATACAGCATACATTGGTTGAAACAGACAGATCCTCAGAATACAACGTCCATGCATCTTTCACTAAGAAGCTGATAATTACAATTAAAGCTATTGACTTCAGACAGATCCAGCTCCAGTCCAATATCAGCATAATTCATGATCTCTTTTCAGTTTCATTACATTAATTATGCAGACCTAACAAGAGATTGTTTGAAACTAATGTAATAATATGTCAATACCTAACATATAGATTTCTATTTAGCAGAATCGGCACATCTTAACTCAGACATTAAAAAATCCTACTGTTAGTCACCCAGGGGCATAATCTCTGGGTTGTTCCCCATTATAAAAGTTGTAATTTGAAATAGTATTTATAATTTTAAAAAGAAGTTAAACAGAAATTACATTCAAAATTTGTCCACTGCTGTCCACAATGTACATTGTGACTTCCACATTTCTGGCCACACTTTTTCCTCCTTTTTCAAATTCTCCTCTTTCTATTATGATATATAGATCATTTCTCATTTCACCTATGGGAGAAAAAATAAAGCAAGTTATCATCATCATCATCACCATCATCATCATCATCATCACCATCATCATCATCATCATCATCATCATTTACTCCTACAAGTAAAACAGACTGTGGAAGAAGAAAAACACAGCTTGAATGATTACATCCAGAAAAGTGAAGAACCAATGATGAAGGAAGTAAATAAAGGAGGC